CCGCGTGGATCCCACTACAATGTGAAAGAATGTCTACAAAAATGTCAAAATTTTTCTGACATAATGGTTTAATGGATCAAATAAACCCACTATTTGCCTTGCACGTCGTTGAGGTTCAATTATTCACATAGTCCAAACAGATTCATCCGTCACTGCAGATGTCGCCACGCGTAAGGTATCAAATATACGAAGGAAACTCTATAAAATCCTTCAAAATCATGAACCTAAGGAGAAGAAAGTTTTGAACTTCCCAGTTCTAGTATTGGTCTTCTTGGTTTCTTGCTTTCGATTTTCCTATTTGACACGATTCAATTCCTTCTGCCACTGTGAAAAGAAAAAAATCCCACTAGGGAATGCACAGAAATGAAGAGAGCTTCGCTTTATAACTTCCAAGTAGGAGGCGGGAGGGCCCAAAAACCACCCACCGGCGGCCGAAATTGCCACAGGAAACACGTTAACCTCCACCCTTAGATAAAAAATCCTCCAACATTTTATCGACCCAACCCAACACAACCCACCAAATTAAATATAGTTTTAACGCCACAAAACGTTACAAAATCTTCAATTTTTCCTAGAATATGTCGATGGGATCCGAAGAAAAATGCAGCGCGCTAAATGGAAAGTATGAGCTCGGCCGACTTTTAGGCCATGGTACGTTTGCAAAAGTGTACCATGCGCGCAACTTGCAGACCGGCAGGAGCGTGGCCATGAAAGTGGTTGGCAAAGAAAAAGTGTTGCGGGTAGGCATGATGGAGCAAGTGAAGCGCGAAATCTCCGTCATGAAAATGATGAAGCACCCCAACATCGTAGAGCTCCACGAAGTCATGGCTAGCAAGACCAAGATATATTTCTCCATGGAGTTAGTCCGTGGTGGTGAATTGTTCGCGAAAATCGCCAAGGGCCGGCTACGCGAAGATGTCGCTAGGAACTACTTCCAGCAGTTGATATCGGCTATCGATTTCTGCCATAGCCGGGGCGTCTATCACCGGGATTTGAAGCCTGAAAATCTGTTGCTAGATGAAGAAGGGAATCTAAAAGTCACGGATTTCGGGCTAAGCACATTTTCGGACCATCTTAGGCAAGATGGTTTGCTGCACACAACTTGTGGCACACCGGCCTATGTCGCCCCTGAGGTGATTGGGAAAAAGGGATATGATGGTGCCAAGGCAGATATTTGGTCTTGCGGGGTGATTCTTTTTGTGTTATTGGCAGGTTATTTGCCATTCCAAGATGATAACATAGTTTCTATGTACAGGAAAATTTACAAGGGGGATTTCAAGTGCCCTCCTTGGTTTTCACCCGAGGCTAGAAAATTGATCGCCAAAATGTTGGATCCAAGAACAAGTACGAGGATAAGTATAGCAAAGATTATGGAGTCATCTTGGTTCAGAAAGTCAATACCAAAGAGTTTAAGGACTAAAGAAGAGCAAGCTGAAGATGAAGTGAATGTTGGGAAGGGAAAGGAAACAGAGACTATGAATGCTTTCCATATAATTTCGTTGTCTGAAGGCTTCAATTTGTCTGGTCTTTTCGAAGAGAAGAAGGTGGAGAAAGAGGAATTGCGATTCGCCACAACAAAGCCTGCCGGTAGTGTGATTTCAAAGCTCGAGGAAGTTGCGAAAACAGGGAATTTTAGCATAAAGAAGAGTGATTCCAGTGTTCGATTGCAGGGGCTAGAAAGGGGGAGAAAAGGGAAGCTTGGAATCGCCGCGGATATTTTCGCGGTGACCCCTTCATTCTTGGTTGTGGAGGTGAAGAAGTCGAGTGGCGATACATTGGAATACAATCAATTTTGCAGCAACAAGCTCAAACCCGCGCTTAAAGATATTGTTTGGACATCAACCACGGGGAGTTCAGTGCCAGCGTAAGTTCGGGATGTTAGATTCATGTTTTGGTTGATCAATATTTGTTCTTATTTTTAAACTTAATCTGAAGCCTGTGAATTGAATTACCATCATTTAGTTCAACATGGGTTGATCCTCTTCTTTAAGATTGAGATTTTATGTATGTATTTTGTGCAATGTCTGTTGAATATTCAACTTCGTAAATTGGTGTATTGGACATAATTTAATTTTCTTGTTATACCTATAAGGCTATAAGTTGAAGAGATGCAATGAATATGTGATGTGTTGACGCATGTTCTTTGAGACACTATTGTCTGGTCACTACGAAACTACAAGTGTGATTGACGTGCCGTGTCGAGACCCATATTGTGTTGACGTTGACGTTGACGTTAAGAAATTATGTCGATTAAATATAAAAAATAAAAAATAAACAATATGTAATGACTCTAACACTCTTCCTAACAAGGTTGGTCTTAAGATGAAATTTCAAGTCTCATTCCTTGTTTGGTATTGACGTGCCGTGTCGAGACCCATATTGTGTTGACGTTGAAGTCAAGAAATTATGTCGATTAAATATTAAAAAATATATATATGTAATTATTCTAATACTCTTCCTAATTAGGTTGGTCTTAAGATGAAATTTCAAAGTCTTAGTCCTTGTTTGGTATTGATTAAAATCATATTTTAATTTAAATTAAAGTCAAACAATCAATATTGATTTTAATTTAAGTTAAGTCAAACAATCAATATTGATCATATATTTCATTGGTCAAACAACTTTTCAATCACATATTCTTTCAACTTTTATCAAAATTTACTAAAAAATTCAATTTTAATTTCTACCAAACAAGAGTTTAATATATTGTTGATCAAATGAACAATCAAATTTCAAAATTGATGATTTCAAATGGACCACCATCTTGTATGCATGTTAAGGGTAAAAATCTATATTGAGTATATATCGAAATGATAATTAATTAGGGCCTAGAATATTTCAATTGAACCACTGAGTACTGTCAAGAGACTTTCTATTTATAAAGAATATTTAATATATTATAGAGAATATAGTATGTATTAAAATTTAGGTTTTAATTTAAGTCAAAATTAAAAATTAATTTCAATAACGTATTTTAGAGGATCCACAAATTTTCAACCACACATTTCATCAACTTTTATCAAAATGTATTAATAATCCGATTTTAATCCCTATCAAACGGGGGCTTAAATTTAGAGAGTTAAAAAATTTTGCTTTTTAAGAAACATATATTGATTCGTCATCATCTTTTATTTTACATATTTTTTATATGTCAATGATCAATCAATTTCAATATGATTTGAATATTCCGAAAAGTAAAATATTGAAATCTATAGCTTTATTTAAATACAATTATTATAAAGTAAATAGAATTTCTTGGAGTTTATTTTTAACAATAATTAAACTCTATAAAATAGAGAGCATCTTGCATTTGGAAAGACTCCCGAAGATGCTCTAAAATTAGGTTAAAAACATTTTCGACAATAAACTAATGGGTTTGTGCTATTTCGATCAACGAAATTATTTTCTTTTACAAACTTAGTGTCAATCTTTCATTTTCTTTCGCGGTTAGACACTATACTCCACTTTATTTCCAAAAGTTAATGAAACTTACATATTGAGGGTGGAAATCTTAAGTGGAATAATTTCCAATGCTAAAAGTTGGAAGAGTGATCTCCGAGATGAGATAAATAGCTGCAGTTGAAATTGAATCCATTCTTTACAATCTACGACAAATATGTAGCCTCCAAAAAGTTAAACGTAGTTACTAACTAAGGATGTTCAACTCTACAATTCTTAGAATCAAGTTACAAGTACATTAACTTTGACATTGTACCACGTGTCGGAGCATGATTTGATAATTTTTAAACACCACACATTTTTCCGCCCATTTACATTTGAATTTACATGGAGTTTCAAACTCCGTGTGGACCTTGGAATGTGCAACAAGTCAAATCCCAATTCTTAAGGGCAACATGGCACAAAAAGTAGAAAGAACAACTTTTGTTCGTTCCTGGACAAAGGGTCCAAAAGACAACATAATTGTGGAGTAGAGAGGGCTACTCTTTTGACTTTTCAATTATNTTTTTTTTTTTTTTTTTTTTGTTTTTGTTTTTCTTGAAGTATCGGAAAGTGCTTCTCTTGTGCATAGTAAAGTGAATCAAACTAAAATCGAAAAATTTAAATTTTGAATTCGTCCTATGAACCAACATTTTGTAAGTTATCGCATCCATTTAGGAAGTTATCACTTCACTTTCACATTACTAATTCTTGAAATTGTTAGGTGGCTACATCTAAAACTATGGATCCGCTAGCACGAAGGAGATACGATAGGCTAATCGTGAAAAAAAAACATGAGTTTAAGTAGTTGCGAGTTGGACTCTTAAGGATGAATAATTAAGTTAATGAAAAAGATTATTTTTAGTCGAATATATAATTTCTTATTATAGTGTACGTGAAGCCGGCTTTAGCAACTTAAATAGAACCTTTTTCCAATCTATTTTCCATTGCATTCTTTAAAATGATAAAACAATACATCTTAAAGCTTGAAAAAATTTCTCTTTTCCTTTGTTGGATGTTAAATCAAAATAATAGAGAAGTGAAATAGAGAGTTCAATACAAGTATTTAACGTGGTTTGGCGATGTCTATGTCCTCAAAGAGCGAAGCGGAGATTTTTATTCAATATGAATAATAGAGTTACATCATCAGTATTTATACAAACACTATCCCAAACCCATATAAGATTTTAGGTCCCGTATAAGAAAAATACACATATATCGTACTGCCCCCGCACCCTCAACCTATTTAGCGTCCCTAACATACAAACAATGAATTAAACACACAAGGCCGATGCCGTCGTTCCAGTATCGACCATTTTGATCCAATAAACCTGTATTCCACTTTATATAAGCCACATATGCAACATCCTTATTTAATATGTGATGGCAAGGGGACCAAATGGCTAATGCATCCATGTGCTTACATGTTAAAAGTTGATATCTCTAGTGGTCTTTGATGTAACCCAAAAATGTCTTTTCTTATGTATTTGGTTATGAGGTCTGATTTCATTACCTTTATTCATGCTCATGTCTTATAGGGATTAACACATTACAGAGGAGCTTAAAATAAGTTAGAAATTGAAGAATAGAAGGATTTCCCTTCAAAGCATGACTCGTTTAATTAATAAGGTACACTGCAATATTTATGAAAATGCATTAAAATCTTGTGTGTTATACCGTTTTATTTTGTTTAATAATGTGCATTAAAATTGATGAAGGGATTATACTGATACCAAATGTGTATCTGTATTCTGAAGTTTAATCTTCAGAAATCATGATCTTGTTGCAAGGGGCATTTCTGGTTGAAAATATGACAGTTGAAAATTAAGACCCTACACCAGATTGTTGTGGATAAAGTAAGACATCCCACCAAGCTGCTTTCCCGACCACAACCATTGTTTTGGCAAGTCTATTATTAAGGTTTCTGTGTCATTTTCTCAAGCCACACTGATATTAATGCTCCATTGGCCACCTTCCAGAGTAGGGTCCGTGCAGGTATCATTTTGCTATAACCACTGGTCCTTATGTGGTCACTACCATTGTTCTGTACCCATCTGCATTTACTTGTGAAAACGAGACAATTAAATAATTTAGAGATGAACAAATTTGAAAATACGTTGATTTGAGGAGTATTGCAAATTTAGGAATTAAATATACGTTGATTTGTACATAATACTGAATACTTAATATCGACAAATTCTTGGTTCAACTAGAGAATACAGAATTTGAATAGAAGAATTGAAGAAAATCCATCAATTACGTATAGATTGGTCCTTAGATACTTACGATTTGTTTTTTCCCTTTAATTATAAATTGTTGCATTTTAGTTAATTAGGGTAATAATGTCCTAAGTAGTCTAGGGTAATTCTTGTTTTCCTTTCCCTATGTAAACACTTAATATATGTTCATTGTTTTTCGCTTGTTTCTTAATTAAATAAAATACTTGGAGCTCTTTGTCCAATTTTTGATTGCTTTACGGTTTAAAATCCTAATTATCTAAGGACCAATCTTGACCCCTCCAATAGTTAATATTCAGTTTCATCCCTCCATAATGCACCTGCCAATGTAGGGAGTTATAGGGTTGGGGGAAGCTAGTGTTGAGAATTATAAATCCTAATTCTATTTCACTGAAAGCAATCAATTTAAAAAAAGAAAAAAATAAATACTCAAGAATACAAAGATTTGAAGATGTTTGCCTTAATGTAAGATTAGATCCTCTCCTGCTGTTGTAGTAATTCACTATGATGAAATATGATTTATAAGATAAAATCACACTCCTATCTTCTCTAAACGCGCTCTCTCTTTTTGATAGTGATAATAAAATCTAAGAACGGCTTACTATTTATAATATAAATTAGGAGGAAATCGAATTTTACATGGACTCTAATTCCTTAATAGAATTTTACAAGAACGGTCCTCAATGGAATTTTGCTATGAGAGCTCTGCGAAGTGGCAATAATTAGCATAGGCAATAATTAGGCTCCATAACACAATGGTTACTAGGTAAGTGATGTCTTAGCTGTTGAAAGACTCGGACTCTTAAGTATGAATGATTAATTCAACATCATCTTTATAATCGAATATACCATTTTTGCTATGGAGTTTGTGATGAGTATTTTAGCGGCTTAAATCCATGATCAACCTACCCTCAGGATCTGCTCCATTTTACCAGCATCTGTATTCGATCAGCTCAATTCAATTGATGGATCCGACACTTCTTTGGGAGAATGAGTTAAAACCTCCCATGTTACACGATCTTATTCCGTTCAATACTGTATATCAAAGATGCTTGAAAAATTAATGAATTGATAATCATATTGACACACCATGCGCACATGTGAGGATTAATATTGAGAAATCATGATTTCTTTCTAAGGGCGTTTTGTTTAGACAATTGAGGATTTCCGGTGAAAATATGACAGTTGGAAAT